TGTGTGGCCTCCACGTGCCTGTATGACCTCCCTACAACGCCTGGGCATGCTCCTGATGAGGTGGTGGATGGTCTCCTGAGGGATCTCCTCCCAGACCTTGACTAAAGCATCCGCCAACTCCTGGACAGTCTGTGGTGCAACGTGGCGTTGGTGGATGGAGCGAGACATGATGTCCCAGATGTGCTCAATTGGATTCAGGTCTGGGGAACGGGCGGGCCAGTCCATAGCATCAATGCCTTCCTCTTGTAAGAACTGCTGACACACTCCAGCCACATGAGGTCTAGCATTGTCTTGCATTAGAAGGAACCCAGGGCCAACCGCACCAGCATATGGTCTCACAAGAGGTCTGAGGATCTCATCTCGGTACCTAATGGCAGTCAGGCTACCTCTGGCGAGCACATGGAGGGATGTGCGGCCCCCCAAAGAAATGCCACCCCACACCATGACTGACCCACCGCCAAACCGGTCATGCTGGAGGATGTTGCAGGCAGCAGAACGTTCTCCACGGCGTCTCCAGACTCTCACGTCTGTCACATGTGCTCAGTGTGAACCTGCTTTCATCTGTGAAGAGCACAGGGCGCCAGTGGCGAATTTGCCAATCTTGGTGTTCTCTGGCAAATGCCAAACGTCCTACACGGTGTTGGGCTGTAAGCACAACCCCCACCTGTGGACGTCGGGCCCTCATACCACCCTCATGGAGTCTGTTTCTGACCGTTTGAGCAGACACATGCACATTTGTGGCCTGCTGGAGGTCATTTTGCAGGGCTCTGGCAGTGCTCCTCCTGCTCCTCCTTGCACAAAGGCGGAGGTAGCGGTCCTGCTGCTGGGTTGTTGCCCTCTTACGGCCGCCTCCACGTCTCCTGATGTACTGGCCTGTCTCCTGGTAGCGCCTCCATGCTCTGGACACTACGCTGACAGACACAGCAAACCTTCTTGCCACAGCTCGCATTGATGTGCCATCCTGGATGAGCTGCACTACCTGAGCCACTTGTGTGGGTTGTAGACTCCATCTCATGCTACCACTAGAGTGAAAGCACCGCCAGCATTCAAAGTGACCAAAACATCAGCCAGGAAGCATAGGAACTGAGAAGTGGTCTGTGGTCACCACCTGCATAACCACTTCTTTATTGTGGATGTCTTGCTAATTGCCTATAATTTCCACCTGTTGTCTCTTCCATTTGCACAACAGCATGTGAAATGTATTGTCAATCAGTGTTGCTTCCTAAGTGGACAGTTTGATTTCACAGATGTGTGATTGACTTGGAGTTACATTGTGTTGTTTAAATCTTCCCTTTATGTTTTTGAGCTATATATATATATATATATATATACACACACACATATACAGTGAGGGAAAAAAGTATTTGATCCCCTGCTGATTTTGTACGTTTGCCCACTGACAAAGACATGATCAGTCTATCATTTTAATGGTAGGTTTATTTGAACATTGAGAGACAGAATAACAACAACAAAATCCAGAAAAACGCATGTCAAAAATGTTATGAATTGATTTGCATTTTAATGAGGGAAATTAGTATTTGACCCCTCTGCAAAACATGACTTAGTACTTGGTGGCAAAACCCTTGTTGGCAATCACAGAGGTCAGACGTTTCTTGTAGTTGGCTACCAGGTATGCACACATCTCAGGAGGGATTTTGTCCCACTCCTCTTTGCAGATCTTCTCCAAGTCATTAAGGTTTCGAGCCTGACGTTTGGCAACTCGAACCTTCAGCTCCCTCCACAAATGTTCTATGGGATTAAGGTCTGGAGACTGGCTAGGCCACTCCAGGACCTTAATGTGCTTCTTCTTGAGCCACTCCTTTGTTGCCTTGGCCGTGTGTTTTGGGTCATTGTCATGCTGGAATACCCATCCACGACCCATTTTCAATGCCCTGGCTGAGGGAAGGAGGTTCTCACCCAAGATTTGACGGTACATGGCCCCGCCCATCGTCCCTTTGATGCAGTGAAGTTGTCCTGTTCCCTTAGCAGAAAAACACCCCCAAAGCATAATGTTTCCACCTCCATGTTTGACGGTGGGGATGGTGTTCTTGGGGTCATAGCCAGCATTTCTCCTCCTCCAAACACGGCGAGTTGAGTTGATGCCAAAGAGCTCGATTTTGGTCTCATCTGACCACAACACTTTCACCCAGTTCTCCTCTGAATCATTCAGATGTTCATTGGCAAACTTCAGACGGGCCTGTATATGTGCTTTCTTGAGCAGGGGGACCTTGCGGGAGCTGAAAGATTTCAGTCCTTCACGGCATAGTGTGTTACCAATTGTTTTCTTGGTGACTATGGTCCCAGCTGCCTTGATATCATTGACTAGATCCTCCCGTGTAGTTCTGGGCTGATTCCTGACCGTTCTCATGATCATTGCGACTCCACGAGGTGAGATCTTGCATGGAGCCCCAGGCCGAGGGAGATTTGACAGTTATTTTGTGTGTCTTCCATTTGCGAATAATCGCACCAACTGTTGTCATCTTCTCACCAAGCTGCTTGGCGATGGTCTTGTAGCCCATTCCAGCCTTGTGTAGGTCTACAATCTTGTCCCTGACATCCTTGGAGAGCTCTTTTGGTCTTGGCCATGGTGGAGAGTTTGGAATCTGATTGATTGATTGATTGCTTTTGTGGACAGGTGTCTTTTATACAGGTAACACGCTGAGATTAGGAGCACTCCCTGTAAGAGAGTGCTCCTAATCTCAGCTCGTTACCTGTATAAAAGATACCTGGGAGCCAGAAATCTTTCTGATTGAGAGGGGGGTCAAATACTTATTTCCCTCATTAAAATGCAAATCAATTTATAACATTTTTGACATGCTTTTTTCTGGATTTTTTTGTTGTTATTCTGTCTCTCACTGTTCAAATAAACCTACCATTAAAATGATAGACTGATCATGTCTTTGTCAGTGGGCAAACGTACAAAATCAGCAGGGGATCAAATACTTTTTTCCCTCACTAATATATATATCTATATATATCACACACACACACACACACACTACCAGTCAAAAGTTTGGACACACCTACTCATTCCAGGGCTTTTCTATATTTTTACTATTTTTTACATTGTAGAATAATAGTGAAAACATCAAAACTATGAAATAACACATGGAATCATGTAGTAACAAAAAAAAGTGTTAAACAGAGATATACATAAAACTGAAAAGAGCAAACAAAGCAAGATAAAAATATATACATTCAGTAGTCCATTAATCAATTGGTGTGTGTGTGCTGCGGGTTTGAAGCTAAGAACCCATAGGATTGGCTCTCTCATCCCTTCCAGGCTTCTGGGAGGGAGGGTGGACAATGAGCCTGTCATAGCGGATGTAAGCAATGTCCCCACGCGCTCTGGCAGCTTTCATGGCTGAGAAATTCTTTCCTCTTCTGGCGCACAGCTTCAGGATAGTCGTTGTTGAGGAAGATATACGTTCCTCTTAAGTTCTTGACTCTTTCCAGAACAGCTACCTTGTCCTTGAACCTCAGGAACTTGACCACTATCGGCCTGGGCCTGTCACCTGGGCCGGTGGTGTGTTTTCCAGTCCTGTGGGCGTGGTCTCCCGCAATCTTCCTGTGGTCCATCTTTTAATTTCTCAGAGATCATTTCTCTCACTTTGTCCTCAGACTCCGTCCAGGTCACGTGGAGATTCTGCAATTCCGTTCACAACCATTTGTTCCACCTTGATTGTTCCTAGAGATGTATCCGTCATTGTTATCATGGATTTACACACATAACTGATGTCCTCTCTCAATGACTTACAGATTGCTGTCATCTTGCCGTTCTCCTGTATAAAATCATTGAGCTGACCCTGGGAGAACTGCAAACTGTTCTTCAGGTCATGGACCTCTCTGGTCAGGTCGTCCATTCTTTTATTAGTTGAATGCACCAGTATTTCGACAAAACACTTGAAGCTATTTTATTTTTGTAATAACTGCTTGTAGAACTATTTTTGTTTGTTTAAAATATCCTTCACGTGATAGAGAGACACCACTGTCCTCAACGGTACTCCCACCGGCTTTGGTCTTTGTCATGGTAGCTAGCAACGTAGGTTACGCTGTTACTCCTCACAGTTCCAGACAGGGCAGGTCACAGGGAAGATTGAAAACAACAATCAGCAGGGATCTTGACAGCCACAAACTCGGGACAATCCGCTGTCTCAGCCACAATGGCTAACCGCGTCGTGGGTTGCGTTCAAGCCCTGAAGAAAACCCTGCTAGCATGATAGGCAGCTAGCTAAATAGCTCCTCAGACCCGGCCTTGGTTGGCAGAATCACTGGACAGAGACTAGCAGTCCCAGCAACTGATGCCAACTGCGTTGGCGGGATCCAAACTAAAAAGGTAGCTAGCTACTAAGAAACTTTCCAATACACTTTCAAAACGACAAACTTTTCTAAACAGCAAAACCGAGCTCTCCCTCATTCCGCGTTCAACAGGAAGAAATGATAGTTATTACAAAATAATGATGGGTAAATATTGCACAATCCAGGTGTGCAAAGCTCTTAGACTTACCCAAGAACACTCACAACTGCAATCAATGCCAAAGGTGTTTCTATCATGTATTGACTCAGGGAGCTGAATACTTATACAACTATGTTTTAGTTATTGTATTTTTATTCATTTTTTCCACTTTGGCATTTTAGTGTTTTGTGTAGATTGACAATTAAATACATTTTAATCCCACTTTGTAACACAAAATGTGAAGAAATCATACTTTTGCAAGGCACTGTATGGATGAATCTCCTTGTTACAGGACCGGCGTATTGAGGAGCTCACGCTGCTCCTAGTCCAGTGCAGACAGTTCAGAGACGTTGTGACCCCAAGACAAGGTAACAGCAATCTCCCCTACCATACATAGTACTACACTAGTTATTGATTGTTTTAATTAAAAGCCACCAAAACGGTAAAACATTCCTTACATTCAAATGTATAATGAACCAGAGAAAGCAAAACATTTCCATTACTCACGATGGTATGAAGCAATTACCCTCTCTCTTCGATAGCTCCACCCACTATACTCTCAGTACCCAATGAGAGGACTCCGTCAAGCTTGGTATCCAATGAGAGGACTCCATCGAGCAGCAGTGAGGAAGAGGAGCATGGAGTTGTGATGTCAGTTCCTCCCGGTGCACTCCCAGAGAACACAAAGACTGAGGTGGGTCAGAGGAAGGGGAATGTTCAGATGGGGGAAAAAATTGTTCTCTCAGCCCCAAGCATACACTGACAATTATTCTAGTTTTCAGTATCAGCATAATATGAAGAAGGTAGAAAGTGCCTTTGGATGAAAACATCATTGATCCTGCCCAATAAGGTTCAGAAGCCTCATTTTCCAAGTCTGCTGACTGTTCAACTAGAGGTTATGACACTAGTCATATTCCTCGTTCCCTGTCCTTATCTCCATCTCTCCTCTGGTCCAGATGTCCTTCAGCAGTTCATCCCCCCAGCTCGTGTCCCACCTGCCAGCCCAGAAGGAGAGAGAACTCTGGTGAGACTCTGGGAATGGAACACCTTTTATCTGACTTATTTAAGAGATCTATGGGACTGCACTTATCAACATATTTCGTTGTGAATTGAATGATCAGATGATCATGTATTTTTATCAGGAGACAGCCCCGACTTTTATCAAGCAGTATGGAACAACCTACAGAATGGATCTTCATCCAAGGTAGAGGAGACATTTTCACTTGACCATTTACTGCCCAGAGTGGGAAAGTCTGACTAGAAAGCGCTTTACACCTTTCTCCTCAATCTGTATCACAGCACTAACTCCTTGTCATCTAATGATTGTTCTTCACCTTTCTTACATCTAGTATGTAGTGGTGATTCCTGTAGAGGCTGAAGTGTCTGCTGAGGTATTATTACTGGTAACAAAACTCTTCACCTTTTCATATCTAACCATTACTGTTCTCTTTCTTGTGTTTGGGTTACACTTCTGACCAATGATTGTTTTGTGTCTTGTCAATCAGAATTTGATAGAAAATATATCAATGACTCAAAAGTAAAATAAAACATTTGTATTGGTCTAATTGTTTCATTTATCTTTGTTTGTTCTCCAGAATGGGCCTGTAGATAACAGGTACCAGACCCTGCCGTTGAAGGCCTCCCTCCCAGAGCATAATGGAGAGGGAGAGTGCAGTGAGACACAGAGCCAGAGGTCTCCAGAGGGGAGTGAAGACGGAGACTCAAGTAAGCCTAAAGAAGCACTACCTGCCACACAGACTGTCCATAAGTGCTTCAGATACCTTCACCTCAGAATATATTGTAGGATTCAATGTGTCTTATGTTGCTTGGTGGACAGACCTGTTCTGAGAAACCATCTGTGCTTAGGTCTGGCCCCTTCTACACCACAGAGCACAAAGCCCCTGATATCAGATCAGACCAAGACTTGGTCCTCCCTTTGAGACAGGGCAACTACACAGGTCTCTGATTAGTTGTACTGTGATCAAAGCTAATAGGGGAGAGGCCCCAGCCAGAGCAAAGGTTTTCAGGGATATTCCTGACTGCCTGACATATACCATGTTCACAGCCCCAACCTCTTTCTGATCGACCACACGCAACCCAACCCCATCCTCTCTCTCACAGACCACGCTTACCCCAATTCCACTTTCTCTTTCTAAATTACCAAGGTCCACACAACCCCACCCTCTCTCACGGACCACACTCACCCCAACTCCACCCTGGGCTTTGGAGTGGCAGGAATCAAGTCCAAGAGTATATGATCCTCCCACAAAATTAATCTATATTGGCCTCCCAGCTGTAACTGGTGGCAGAGGTGGGATTTTGTGCTGTGCACATGGACCGGCACAGGCCCAGCAGCTGGAACCACTTTCTATGTGCTCTCTCTCCTATTGGGTGGTCGGTTAGACCCAAAGGCCTCCAATATAAACATGAGAAAGCAAAGCTCTACCAATCCCCTAGTGGGCCTATCTGTGAGTCTTACTGAGGTCCGACACATAACGAAAAAGACATTACAGACAAAATACTTTACAATTGATATACACAACATGTTCATGTTTTTAAATGTGTGTGTTTGTGTGTGTGCGCATCTATCAGTTACACATACATGTCAGTACATACACACAACAAGTAGGTCACATGGGGGAGAGGCATTGTGCCATGAGGTGTTGCTTTATTTGTTTTTTGAAACCAGGTTTGCTCTTCACTTGCGCTATATAACATGGAAGGGAGTTCCATGCACTCATGGCTCTGTATAATACTGTACGTTTCCTTGAATTTGTTCTGGACCTGGGGACTGTGAAAAGACCCCTGGTGGGGTAAGTGTGCGTGTCAGTGCTGTGTGTAAGTTGACTATGCAAACAATATGGAATTTCCAACACATTAATGTTTATCTTTCAGGGATTTGTACACGTAGGGTGTCCATGGCACTAGCTATGAGCTAATTAACATGTTTGTGCTAGTTATCTCTCCACAGGCTATTGGCAATAAACATAATTCACTTTATTTATTTTTTTGACAGTCATTAAGATTGAAGTCTTTTTGAAGGTTCACTGCCTGTATAAAACTTATTTTCACACAAAGATAACATCAGCTATTTGTTTTGCTGCCCTGGAAAGAAATTACTTTTTGAACCAGTTGATTGCTTTTATTCGTGCATTGTACATTTTCAAGAGCAACTCAAATGAAAGCTAAACCAGAACCTTCGCCCACATGTAAACTTCCGATTGAAATTATTAAATGTTTCAATGATGGATACACAACTAGATAATAAAGATCATTTTTGTTGATCTTTCCCCCCTTCTTACAGGAAAGACAGAGAAAATGGACGACACCTCATCCTCTGACCTTTCACCCCAGTCTTCAGGGGCGGAGTCAGGTCAACGGACTATTGGCTCACCAGAACACCTGAAGAACAATAACAGTATCAGGAAGCTCTGGGGAAAGTGAGTGGGTATAATGTTTATTTTTTGGGATAAAATATATACAGTAAATTGAGCATATACCTCACCTAAAATGGCAAGCTTAGGGATGTGAATGACACCCAAGTCTTGCATATTATGTACAGTATGTCTATGAAATCAAATAATGTCCTCTCCTCCAGGATCAGGCGGACCCAGTCAGGGGGTCTGCAGGGGGAGGACCTGGAACCAAACCAGTTTAGGAGAGGGGGGCTGCGTGCCACAGCGGGGCCAAGACTCACCCGGACCCCTGACTCTGGCAGTTCTGTTCGGTAAGACTGGGTTTGCGGGATAACTCATTGACACCACCTAATTCCCCAATAGATTATTGCCATGAAATAACAATGTGGTAACCCTTTATTTAGATAGTCTGTAGAGCATCTACAGATGGACTATCAGTAAAATATCTACTAACCCTAACCTTAACCCCTACCCTAACCCTTATTAAACCTAACCGTAACCTTAGCAAGCAGTTGCTTATCAACAGATAGCTTGTTGATAGTATGACCATCTGTAGAGCATCTACAGATGGAAATTCCGGACTATCCAAATAAGGTGTGACCCAATATGTGACCGACCGCCTCGATTTGGTCTTATGTAGCAACATTTGAAATTGTGTTTTTTACATTGGATAAAAGTAGAGGCTCAGAGCTAGAAAATGGTACATCATACACTGCAGTTGAGGAACAAATGGGAATTTAATTCTGCTTTGAAAGTTGATAAACTTGTAACCCCACTTTTGAGAAAAAGGCCCTTGAATGTTTTGGGACACCTACTGGAGAGCTCTTCTTTGCCTGCACCCATTCAGCATCGTTCACACACTCTTAAGCCTTAGCCCCACCCATCTATTTAAGGATTCACATGTGAGGTCATGTGCTAAACAGTGAGTACGGTAGTGTACAACCAAAGATTTCAAGACTAAAGGCTGGTTTAGACATTCTATCGAATGTCTGTATACAGTTGTTGCAGTGACATCATAAAATGCCATTTAGTAGACGCTTTTATCCAAAGTGACTTACAGTCATGCGTGCATACATTTTTTTGTGTGTATGGGTGGTCCCGGGGAATCGAACCCACTACCTTGGCTTTAAAAGCGCCGTGCTCTACCAGCTGAGCTACAGAGGACCACGTCATGAACATTCTATTGTCGTCCGACATCAAACTTTGTCGTTATGAAAAATGTAGTTAGTTTCTAGCTTGTTAGAAGGTGTAAACTGTACAGTGAAATGGTTACTTGCATAGTGGAGTCTTTTTGATTAGACATGTAGCTAGCTAAACGATGAACCATAATACCAACTCATATTGTTGCTACCCTTCATGAATCTACAGGTAGCTAAAGCTAACCAACTAGCTAGGTTCAATGTTAGCTAGCTAGCTGACATTAGGCTATCACTAGCAATGTAAATGGCTCTGAGGTATGAATAACACTACACAGATCATACACGTAATGTTAGCTAGCTAGCCAGCCAGCTAACGTTAGCTAGCTAGCTAACAGTACACTTTAACTTGCAATGAAAACAACTTTCTAACAATATTTGAAACGTATAATATCTGAAAATGTAACTAGCTAGACTCTCTTACCCGCATACATGGATGAACGCTGCTCCCTCTCTGTCACAGATGCCATTGTTGCCCTTAGTTTGAAGATGTAATCCAGACAGGTGTTTTATACAACAGCTTTCTGCTTTCTCTTTCTGACTCCCTCTGCATTTGCAATCAAATGCCTGAATTTTCTCCATCTCCTTAGCTATCATACTCTGCTTCCACCGGGAATTTCACTGATTTCAAAACTCGGTCCTCCAGAAAGTGGAGAGCCTTAGCAAAACTTGTGCAGTTCTTTGTGATATCTTTCAAAAAAAGCCACTTTAGAAAGGATTACCTACACATACTAAGCAGCTCATGTTATAGACAGAAGAGTGCTACATGGCTGAACAATCCGAACTCATCTCTCAGCATGTCCAGCCCAACCATTATCTCAGCCAATCATGGCTAGTGGGAAGGTTCCTGACTTTTTCCGTGGTTAAACCAACTAGGCTGGAATAATAAAAATAAAAATAAAGGAATTTACAGACGGCATACAATTTGTTTTTAAGGCACATGAAAGTTCACATGTTCCAGAATGCATTTCTGCCAAAAAGTGTTTTTTATTTAAAAAATTTTAAATAACGTTCAAATGCCTCTCCTGTGAAGTAGTGATCGCGTGACATACGCCTAGTTTCCTGAAATGAGTCGCATGTTTGCTACTGCACCTGTTTCAATATAGGGAATACTGTTCACATTGTATAGATGTTGAATAGGCCATATACAATGCATGTAGACAGAAGCAAAACAAGGTTTTCTATCAGTGTTCTCTCTCTCTCATGGATTCTTAATCTAATTTCTCTCATTCTGTCTTTCAGGGATATGAACACTCCATTCAGCCAGTGGACCAGGGAGCAGGTGTGTGGTTGGCTGGAGGACTATGGTCTGGGTCAGTACGTCAACCTGACCCGGCAGTGGGTCGACAACGGACAGACGCTCCTGTCCGCCAGGCCGCAGGACTTTGAGAAGGTCATTGAGGGAGAGAGGGTTGCTACCCTGATGAACTTAAAAACATACAAAATTGTTGCTTGTATGGTGTCCATATTAGGACGGCCTCAGGGTCACAAGTAGGTTGTGTCAGTCACTCAGAACTTGTCAGTCTCATCAGGATTCCTTATATGGACGCTGCTTTGTCTTAATACTCTCTGGAGAACATGTAACACTGCAGGAATCAAGATCATGTTGATCTGAACATGTTTTATAAACATAGTCATTGATTGGCTTTGGGAAACCACAGTAAAACCTTCCATGCAAACAAACGCAGTGACAACCATATTGCTCCAAATGCAGGTTGTTTGGGAAACGTTATTTTAATGTAAATGTTTCTGTGTCCACAGGAAATGGGTATCAAACACCCGCTACACAGGAAGAAACTACAGTTGGCTCTGAGGGGGTTCGGTACTAAAGCCATGGAGAAGTCCTCTGAGCTGGACCACATCTGGGTTACACGTACGTCTACAACTTAAACTGTACTATTAAAATCTACCATATTCAGACATTGCCAGAAGTGTGGTATTTGAGGTGCACAATGAGTCAACTGTATTGTCTGTACGATATTTTGTTGGAAAATATTCCTTGTTTAAAAGGAAGTTAAAATGGTTAACTCTGATTGGTCACATGCAGGATGGTTGGATGACATAGGCCTTCCTCAGTACAAGGACCAGTTCCACGAGGGACGAGTGGATGGCAGGATGCTCCAGTATCTCACTGTGGTGAGGCTAAACAATTAGATGTTTTAAAGTGTTAACGTGCTCTCATCTGATATCATCACCATTATTATGCCATTAGTGTAAAAGGGGTCCCATACAGTGAATACACCCTAGCTTACCTACTGAACTACAGTGAATACACCCTAGCTTACCTACTGAACTAAAGTAATTGAACTGTTTCCCAGAATGACCTGCTTTCCCTGAAGGTGACCAGTCAGCTCCATCACCTCAGTATAAAGTGTGCTATCCACGTCCTACACGTCAACAAGTTCAACCCCCACTGCCTCCGACGCAGGCCTGGGGAGGAGGTGAGAGGGAGGGGACCCTGAAGTGGGGGGAGGAGGGAAATGAGTGACTGAGGAGAGAAGCAAAAGTTGGAAGGATGGATGAGAAATTAGTTAAGATTTGTTTAATGATAAGATTTTACTGCTCAGTGGATGAACTCTCTCATTTCTCTCTCTCCCTGGTCAGAGGAACCCCTCTCCCTCAGAGGTGATCCAATGGTCCAACCATCGTGTGATGGAGTGGCTTCGGGCAGTGGACCTGGCTGAGTATGCACCCAACCTACGGGGCAGTGGGGTCCATGGAGGTCTCATTGTGAGTGGACTGCACCTCAGAACCATGTATGCGTCCCAATTCCCCAAACTTTTTTGAAGTGTGCAGTTGCACACCCCCCGTCATTTGCAAGTCCACACTTTGGAAGAAGTGTGGAGAATCGGGATGCAGCCTAAGTCACTTAAAAATGATGTGTTCCTACCTGAGTGAGCTCCAGCCCTCTCCTCTACCCCTGTACTTTAGATTCTGGAGCCGCGGTTCACCTCTGAGACCCTGGCCATGCTGCTGAACATCCCCCCTCAGAAGACCCTGCTCCGCCGCCACCTGGCCACCGCCTTTACCGCCCTGGTGGGGACACAGGCCACTCTGGAGAAACGGGAGTACGCCAACGCCACCGGCCATGCACCCCTCACCACCACCGCCAAAGTCCGGGTACGACTGCTGTGTGTCCATGGAAGAAGGCCTGTGATTACTGTATAATGTGCTGTGAGCACTGTGTACATTTTAATGAAATCTGCCTAATTTGCTGTTATTGAGAGTTTTAGATATAATCCGCAGTAGTTATTTTTCAATGTACAAATTGTGTACAGAGAACCCTAGCTTAAGCCCTTTCTTCCTGTATTATTTCAGCCCAAGAAGCTTGGTTTCAGTCACCTGAGGAAGAGGAGGCCGGATGACTTGGCGGACTACATCTGCCCTATAGACAGTGGGGGCCTTTCGGCCATGAATGGGGTTTCCCACCGGCCGTTCGCAGCGGTCCGAGGCCTCAGCCCCATCCTGGACAGAGAGCCAGAGAGACTGGAGCAGGTGGGGCCCAAAAGCTGACACTGACGCTCCCCTCAGCCAATGACTGCAAATCGTACAGCTTTTAACCCCGCCCCACATGCCTTTGTGAACACGCTCCCCGCTCTCCCTGAATCAAGGTGCTGATTTTGTGATTCGGTGGAAATTCTAACGCAGTGATTTTATCACCAAATGGTGATTCGCTGGACAAGCTAGTGTGTGTGTGTGTGTGTGTGTGTACATATAATGAATATCAGCTGGATGTGCTAATTGGGTATTTGCTGGATATGCTTACCAAGTAACTGACCTGGATATGTTGAAATCATGACTGACCTGACAGGCTAAATTATGATTCATAATGTTACGGTTGTATAATGGTTCCCTTTGAAAGCCGCTCTGCATTCCTGGCAAAATGAAATGGATTCAGCTTTCCTTTCTTCTTTCTTCTGCCATTGCTTCAGAACATCAACATGATGTGTTACTGACCATTGCAGCCTTCCTCCTTACCTTGCTGGATTCAGCTTAGCTATCAACTGCCTTTCTTGAGTTATGGTACAATGTACACATGAATACCAATTATATAAGCTTGTTTGATTTATTTGGTCATATTTAATAACTTGCAAAAATTCACAGTATACAAGGTGCTCTCATGATAATGCAGGTTTGCGCACAATAACCACTCAATTGGCCTATAATTATAAATTGAAAATAAAGAATAATTTGCAGGTGATTGTTTTTTGTATGCTGCATGTTTGATAGTTTAGTTCATTTTAATTTTAGACCTAAATCCTAAATGCATTATTGGGGTAAAGGCCAAACTAACCAATATTGACTCTTTGAAACAAATTGCTCTTGCTGACTCTACTATATCAAACATAATGGATTATAGACAATAATAATGCTACAGCGGCTTCAAAAAAAATTTCCGATAATGCACACCTGAATTTACAGCATTGTTGCATGTTTACTGTTGTATACTATCACGTGACTGGTAAGCCATGAATGCTAAAGTTTTCAGAATGCTGATAATATTCCATCAGGCATCCACTGAGGACAGTTCTGTCTCCAGCTCAGACACTGAGGACAACATGGTGAGTTTCAGCATTGTTTTTCAGAGAGCTAAAGATGTGTTCTTTATAATACAGTATTTAATTTTCCCCCATGGTGTTTCAGTGATGCTATGGCTCAAGTTGTAACTGCTAGGTGGAGTATTATTCAGTATGTTGGACTACTGTTACGTACCATGCTCCTTTCTCCATATTATTGCAACATTATGGTCTTCATTGTATCCTCAGGTCCATCATTAAAGTCATGCTTTAACATCTGTGTAGTCTACCTATGTGTTATTCCAGTGTAAAGAGACAATGCTGTGAACAGATTCTGCTTTGGAACTTGTGAGAAGCAGAAACCAAACCAGCAGAAAGTGCCAGAAAGCCCTCTGTGTACTCACCCTCATGAAGAAATGAAGTGGAGGATGGCTCTCTGAAGGATAGTTTCGGTCAAAACCCCACACCATTTATTCAGCTATGATAGAGGGAAATCAATGGCAATAAAACAAATATATATATACAGTACCAGTCTAAATTTTGGACACACCTACTCATTCAAGGGTTTTTGTTTTTGTATTATTTTCTACATTGTAGAATAACCATGAATACCTCAAAACTGTGGAATAATGTAGTAACCAAAAAAGTGCTAAACAAATCAAAATATATTATGTTTTAGATTCTTCAAAGTAGCCACCTTTTGCCTTGATGACAGCTTTGCACACTTTTTTTGGTTACTACATGATTCCATATGTGTTATTTTCATAGTGTTGTTGTGTCTTCATTATTATATGCTACAATGTAGAATATAGTAAAAATAAAGAAAAACCCTTGAATGAGTAGGTGTTCTAAAACTTTTGACCGGTTATGTGTGTGTGTATGTATGTATGCATGTATGTATGTATGTATGTATGTATGTATGTGTATATATATATATATATATATATATATATATATATATATATATATACATACATATATACATACATATATATATATATATATATACACAGCATATCAATGCAACTTCTTTGATCAAACATGTTCAAAAATGTTATTCAGTTAATTATGACATTGAGTGACTTCCTTCATATCTATAAAAAAAAAAGATTTAAAAAAAAGGCCAACGTATCCAACAGTTGGATTGGAAGAACAAAACATGTATGGCCATTTCAGACACTATTAGAATACCAACTTCTTGAAAAGTAGAAACAGGATGACGTGATCTTTATTGCATAAAACTGTTGAAAAACATTCTATGGCAATTCACATTAGGAATTTGCTTGTGTTTCGTCATTAGCAGTTGGAGGAATGTCACATGATTTATCCCAGCTTCAGGTGATCATTTCACTCATCTGCTTGTCCACGACTGATTTTGTAGACATGGCAGCAAAAGTTATTCTTCATCTGTTCAATATGAACAATTATATCTCTGTCAAAGAATAGTTCATGACTATATCTGAAACAAGAAAAAGGAGATGTTAATAATAAAATAAAAAGTCAGTCCTGTGATCTGTTTGCCTGGTCTAACATTGCCCTCTACTGGTTTAATATAAAAAGGCAAGGACATGTCTCAAGATTGGATTCCCTTTTTATTTGAGTTTTATAGAATTGAAAAACAAAGGAGGAATAACCATGTTAGACAAGTATTTTAAAACAAAGGCTCAGAGTAAAGGTAAACCATTTTTTCCAATGTTTCACCTTCATTCTCATTACAATACATATAATAGACATTGTCTAATCAAGTGTTTGACCTCGTTTCCTGGTTAGTATGTACTGGGGAAAAAAGTTTTCAGAATGCTGATAATATTCCATCAGGCATCCACTGAGGACAGTTCTGTCTCCAGCTCAGACACTGAGGACAACATGGTGAGTTTCAGCATTGTTTTTCAGAGAACTAAAGATGTGTTCTTTATAATACAGTATTTCATTTTCCCCCATGGTGTTTCAGTGATGCTATGGCTCAAGTTATAACTGCTAGGTGGAGTATTATTCAGTATGTTGGACTACTGTTACGTACCATGCTCCTTTCTCCATATTATTGCAACATTATGGTCTTCATTGTATCCTCAGGTCCTTCATTAAAGTCATGCTTTAACATCTGTGTAGTCTACCTACAGTGAGGGAAAAAAGTATTTGATCCCCTGCTGATTTTGTACGTTTGCCCACTGACAAAGACATGATCAGTCTATAATTTTAATGGTAGGTTTATTTGAACAGTGAGAGACAGAATAACAACAAAAAAATCCAGAAAAATGCATGTCAAAAATGTTATAAATTGATTTGCATTTTAATGAGGGAAATAGGTATTTGACCCCTCTGTAAAACATGACTTAGTACTTGGTGGCAAAACCCTTGTTGGCAATCACAGAGGACAGACGTTTCTTGTAGTTGGCCACCAGGTTTGCACACATCTCAGGAGGGATTTTGTCCCACTCCTCTTTGCAGATCTTCTCCAAGTCATTAAGGTTTCGAGCCTGACGTTTGGCAACTCGAACCTTCAGCTCCCTCCACAGATTTTCTATGGGATTAAGGTCTGGAGACTGGCTAGGTCCACTCCAGGACCTTAATGTGCTTCTTCTTGAGCCACTCCTTTGTTGCCTTGGCCGTGTGTTTTGGGTCATTGTCATGCTGGAATACCCATCCACGACCCATTTTCAATGCCCTGGCTGAGGGATATCACCCAAGATTTGATGGTACATGGCCCCGTCCATCGTCCCTTTAATGCGGTGAAGTTGTCTTGTCCCCTTAGCAGAAAAACATCCCCAAAGCATAATGTTTCCACCTCCATGTTTGACGGTGGGGATGGTGTTCTTGGGGTCATAGGCAGCATTCCTCCTCCTCCAAACACGGCGAGTTGAGTTGATGCCAAAGAGCTTGATTTTGGTCTCATCTGACCACAACACTTTCACCCAGTTCTCCTCTGAATCATTCAGATGTTCATTGGCAAACTTCATACGGCCCTGTATATGTGCTTTCTTGAGCAGGGGGACCTTGCGGGCGCTGCAGGATTTCAGTCCTTCACGGCGTAGTGTTTTACCAATTGTTTTCTTGGTGACTATGGTCCCAGCTGCCTTGAGATCATTGAAAAGATCATCCCATGTAGGTCTGGGCTGATTCCTCACCATTCTCATGATCATTGCAACTCCACGAGGTGAGATTTTGCATGGAGCCCCAGGCCGAGGGAGATTGACAGTTATTTTGTGTTTCTTCCATTTACGAATAATCGCACCAGCTGTTGTCACCTTCTCACCAAGCTGCTTGGCGATGGTCTTGTAGCCCATTCCAGCCTTGTGTAGGTCTACAATCTTGTCCCTGACATCCTTGGAGAGCTCTTTGGTCTTGGCCATGGTGGAGAGTTTGGAATCTGATTGATTGATTGCTTCTGTGGACAGGTGTCTTTTATACAGGTAACAAACTGAGATTAGGAGCACTCCCTTTAATAGTGTGCTCCTAATCTCAGCTCGTTACCTGTATAAAAGACACCTGGGAGCCAGAAATCTTTCTGATTGAGAGGGGGTCAAATACTTATTTCCCTCATTAAAATGCAAATCAATTTATAACATTTTTGACATGCTTTTTTCTGGATTTTGTTGTTGTTATTCTGTCTCTCACTGTTCAAATAAACCTACCATTAAAATTATAGACTGATAATTTCTTTGTCAGTGGGCAAACATACAAAATCAGCAGGGGATCAAATACTTTTTTCCCTCACTGTATGTGTTATTCCAGTGTAAAGAGACAATGGTGTGAACAGATTCTGCTTTGGAACTTGTGAGAAGCAGAAACCAAACCAGCAGAAAGTGCCAGAAAGCCCTCTGTGTACTCACCCTCATGAAGATCTGAAGTGGAGGATGGCTCTCTGAAGGATAGTTTTCGGTCAAAACCCCACACCATTTATTCAGCTATGATAGAGGGAAATCAATGGCAATAAAATATATATATATATAGTACCAGTCAAAAGTTTGGACACACCTACTCATTCAAGGCTTT